TAAATGAGTAATTGTTAACATAAAATAATAGAACATTTTAATAAAAATTAATATTTTTTCTTGAACATTAACTTACCAGACACTGAATAACTGCACAAATTAATAAGCGTAATGCAAAAAAACCTATTTTTCTTGTTCTTCGAAAGCGAAATATTTCCTGTTGCGCACACCAAGCAAGACAGTCCAAGACTAATGACATGGCCATCGGCTGCTAAAATATTTGCTGCTGGTATTAGTGGAGAGAAGTGGTGCGCCTGTGTAAGGTATATAAGGCGTGTAAGGCGCATAAAGGCGCGCTTTTAAGCAAAATGGATGCAACACGAGTATAGTGATCAGTCATTAGCGAAAGTTAGTTCATTATTAATAATCCTATCTAATAAAAGACAAAAAGGGTAATTAACCATACCTCCGCTACGCTTCCCATTGGCTAATCAGGGTGATATGCAAATTAACCGCCAACAAAGATGGCGGTTAATTTGCATACACAGGCTCCAAGCGGTGGAGTGAAGCCAAACAGCCCCGAAGCCACCGAGCAGCAATGTCTCACCGCCCTGGGATCAGCAGAGCTGCGAGGCCTCCCGGCCCGGGATCAGCAGAGCCGAGAGGTGTCCCAGCCTGGGATCAGCGGAGCTGCGAGGCCTCCCAGCACCGGTGTCAAGCGGAGCCGTGAGGCCTCATGCCCCAGGATCAATGGAGCAGCGAGGCCTCCTGGCACCGGGATCAACAGAGCTGCGAGGCCTCCCAGCACTGGGATCAGCGGATCATCAGATCAGCGGAGCCACAAGGCCTCCCGGCCCCTGGAGCAGCATGACAGGGGGCAGCACCGCAACCCCTAGATCAGCCCTGCTCTGTGGGTGACAGGGGGCGGCACCCCAACCCCCTGATCCGCCCTGCTCTGTGGGTGACAGGGGACAGCACCACAACCTCCTGATCGGCCCTGCCGTGAGTGTGACAGGGGGCTGCGCCCCAACCCCCAGATCGGCCTTGCTCTGTGCGTGACAGTGGATTGCTATCACGATCTTATAGGTGCAGAAAGGGAGGTACAGAGAGGTTAATTAACTTGTCTGAAGTCACACCTTCAGAAGTGGAGAAGCCAGGTTCCAATACAAGAACCTGACTCCAGGACCTACATACTTTCTTTTTTTAAAATTTGTATTTATTGGTTTTAGAGAGAGGAGGAAGGGAGAGAGGGAGACAGACAGACAGACATCAACTCGTTGCTCCATTTATTTATACATTCATTGGTTGCTTCTTGTGAGCCCGACCAGGGATCAAACCCACAACCTTGGTGTACTGCAAGCATGTCAAACTCAAAGGCTAACACGGGCCAAATAAACAAGTTTAAGGGTATGTGGGCCACAAAAAAACAAAAGCTTCAATTTTCATAGAAACGTAGGTTTATTTCTATAGAGACATGCTGAATCCAAAGGGCTGAAACAAATGAGTAATTGTTAACATAAAATAGTAGAACATTTTAATAAAATTAATATTTTTTCTTAAACATTAACTTACCAGACACTGAATAACTGCACAAATTAATAAGCGTAATGCAAAAAAACCTATTTTTCTTGTTCTTCGAAAGCGAAATATTTCCTGTTGCGCACACCAAGCAAGACAGTCCAAGACTAATGACATGGCCATCGGCTGCTAAAATATTTGCTGCTGGTATTAGTGGAGAGAAGTGGTGCGCCTGTGTAAGGTATATAAGGCGTGTAAGGCGCATAAAGGCGCGCTTTTAAGCAAAATGGA